TAGTCGGGAAATGTTTATAAATTGCATTAGATAAAATTGAGACCCTAAATGGTAAAATGGTAGGCGCTAGCGATGACCCACAACACGGGCGGGACGGGCGGGCCGAAGGAACGGAAGCCTAGGCCTCCTAGTGTTAGGTGGTGAGAGGGGGGGCGCACCTAGGAGGCGGCGCGGACAGGAGATTGGGCAGGCCAGACAATGGCCCGACTCGCGTTGCTCTGGCAGGAGATCGGCCCTGCCACGCGGTGACGGGGCCGCCACTAACGGCCGGCAGCGACGGGACCAGGCGTTTGTAGGAGAGTGCAGCGTGTGCCAGGGCTTGCTGCCAATCGCCGCAGAAACGAAAGATAGGATCTGCAGCCCCGCACAACAAAAGGCAGCCTGGGTGTGGTGGCTAGGGCGAAAGACAGCCGGCCCAGCTCGCGTGCACACGACCGGCCGGAGCCGACTGCTGGCAGCGTCTCCAGGCATCGCATTAAACTGGCGCACACGCAAAACGTGCGAAGCTTATGTTCATTTCCACGTTCGCGCGTCACACGTCACGTACGTGGCCGCCGTCCCACACGTCGCACGTCACGGATTACCGACGAACACGTCAGCGGTCCACTGTCCCGCGAACACGATCACCCCGTTCACGTCCGCGCCGCACGTCAACGTCACGTCCCTGCTACACCGGGTCACGTCGACGCGATGGAGGTCCGCGAGCAACTCAACCGTCACCCTCGACGTGCCCGGGGCTAATGACATGACACTGATGCAGGCACCGCGGAATGAGCATTCATGTTCACGTCACGTTTCAAGTTGCGTCATCACGACTTCACGTCTGCGCAGGTCACTCTCTTCAGAAAATCTTCGAATTTGCTAATAACAAAAAAATTATAATCAACTACGTTTGTGTAGGAAGACAGCCCTGGTGTAACATAAATAATTGTGGGCCACCAAATTGCACCAAGATAATAGTCTCTTCTTCCAAGATTTCATATAGCCCCTGTAGAATTAAGTTGTCAGTTTCCTAAATCAATATAAAACGTCCGCGACACGTCACGTCACGTCCGCGACACGTCACGTCACGTCCGCGACACGTCACGTCACGTCACGTTATGACATGACACGACAGGACCGATGAGCATCATGTCACGTCACGTTCGTGTCTCATCACGACTGCGTCGCGGCACGTCCGTGTCACATTTACATAAGGGCCATGCACAAGATAAAATACTTCTCTCAATTTCATTGTGTAATCCAGTTTCTATCAAATAAACCAAACGAATCAGAGGTTTGGGGGCGAGACTCAATACCTCTCACTGAGAGCCAGACAGATCGTGTCTTCGGCGGTTGCCAATGAAATTCCAACAATTCAGGAGAAGGCTCATCGAGGTTCGGTTTATATTGCTTGCAGATGGGGTGGTTTGACTGGTCGCAACAATGCGAAAAATGGCCAAGACTACTGAAAAGACTGTTAAAATAACTTTCTCCTGCCTGGACACCCGAGATGAGAATGTCTAAGGATTTGCAGCCCTTAATCGAGATCACTTTAAAAGTATTGTGCTCCTTTTTTGAAACTCACTTTAAACACGTTGTGATCCTTGAACAAATTCACTTAAATACGTTATACCCACTCTCCATAGAGAGTGGTGTGCCTGGACATCGGATGTAAGGACAAAGAGATTTTACGCTTAGGGCTTTGCCGGTTTTGTCGTCGACCAGACATTTCGTTTCCCACGAGTCTAAATGACCGTTAACCCAACACAAATCAAATCTTAGTGCCGGCACTAGGCGGTATATGTTACGGAACTGACCCGTGAATGCTAAAAACCTGAAGGCGATAAATCAACAAATGTCTCTCCCACAGAATAAAAATGGTTGTGCGCATACTTTGTGGATTAATAGGGAAAACTAAAAAAAAATAATTCCACCACTCACATTCAAATTGCTAAAAAATACATAATAATAATAATAATAATAATAATAATAATAACAATAATAATAATAATAATAATAATAATAATAATAATAATAATAATAATAATAATAATATACGAGAACTTACTACGAAACATCGAGGTGCTTCAAGTTCGTTGGAGCTGGACTAATTGTGAGCTTCTGCAACCCTGAAAATATAAAGACATTTAATATAAGGCATATGATTTAATTACTCAATGTTAAAATAATTGAGTTTGACCAATAAATAATTTTAGTTGTTTTCCCATCGATTTTACAATGCATTATCGATACACATATTACATTTTAATGAATTAACTTACAAAATAAAGCACTTTGTTAATAATTAACACAATGTTAATTTTGTATTAAATATTACTAGTAAACGTAATCAAAATTATCACTTTCTTTGAACAACATTTTGAGATTTGAACAAGGAGCTTAATTCAAAACAGAGTCATTCCGGGTGTAAAAATCACAATCTTCACAAAAGTTTCTTAAGCCACTGGCTAAGAAGCGCTTCTTTGCTCCTCAGCAGATTATCGACAAATTAGTTATTTTATGACGTGCTGAAGTCTGTGCTGAAGTCGTACCAGGAATTTATTACTGGAAGTATTACTGGAGAAAAAATCTACTTTGTTCGGAAACAAAGGACAAACAAGCCACGTGAATTGATGAAATTGGGTTTCCACATCTCTTTACTGAATGGGATCGTGACAAAGGTCTATCAACATCTCGACCTTGAACCGAATAGACCTTCGACAGACATTCAGAAACGTGTTCTGGGGAAGCAATGGCATCTAGAGACTATTAGCAGCGCTTTGGGATCCCGAAAATTCCAGTTTTTTGGCAATAGCTTTGTTACTGTATGATACTAAATTCCAAAATCGTGCGAAGCCCTTTGAAAAGATACTAGTGTCTTTAAAACGGCAAAGAATGTAAAGCAAGGATGGTGCGTCGTAATACAGTATGTAAAGGGGCATTATAGAGTATGTTGAGATGTTAGGCGAAGCCCGAGCCCGACCTGGACTGTAGCGCCATAGAAAAGAAGAAGACGAAGACGAATAAGACGAATAAGACGAATAAGCCGACGAAGCCGACGAAGACGACGAAGCCGACGAAGACGACGAAGCCGACGAAGACGACGAAGCCGACGAAGACGACGACGAAGACGACGACGAAGACGACGACGAAGACGACGACGAAGACGACGACGAAGCACGACGGACGCGAAGACGACGTTACGAAGGACGACGAAGAAGACGACGAAGAAGACGACGAAGAAGGTACGACGAAAGAAGACGACGAAGGGACGAAGAAGACGACGAGACGAAAGACGACGAAGAAGACGAAGACGAAGAAGACGAAGACGAGAAGGGACGAAGACGAAAGAAAGACGAAGACGAAGAAGACGAAGACGAAAGAAGACGAAGAAGACGAAGAAGGCGAAGAAGACGAAGAAGACGAAGAAGACGAAGAAGACGAGAAGAAGACGAAGAAGACGAGAAGACGAAGAAGACGAAAGAAGACGAAGAAGACGAAGAAGACGAAGAAGGACGAAGAAACGAAGAAGACGAAGAAGACGAAGAAGGACGAAGAAGACAGAAGAAGACGAAGAAGACGAAGAAGACGGAGAAGACGAAAGAGAGACGAGAAGGACGAAGAAGACGAAGGAAGACCGAAGAAGACGAAGAAGAAAGAAGACGCAAGAAGAAGAAGACGAAGAAGAAGAAGACGAAGAGACGAAGAAGAGAAGAGACGAAGAAGAAGAAGACGAAAGAAGAAGAAGACGAAGAAGTCGAAGGAAAGAAGTCAAGAAGAGAAGACAAGAAGAGACGAAGAAAGACGAAAGAAGAAGAAGCACGAGAAAGAAGACGAAGAGAAAAGGAAAAAAGAAGAAGAAGAGGCCACAGTGAACACCCGGGTGTCTTGTAGGTTAAGGTGGAGGAAAAAAGCTTGTTGAAGAAACTGGAGAGTAGAACGTTCTCCACATGACTGATGTTAGTGATTCCTGACGCGTCATCTGATTAGCGTCTTTAGACAGTAGAATTTTAGGTGCATTGTTTTGCCTCGGGAAGGTTACTTGGTGATCTTCCCCGCTGCATGGTGGGGAAGAAACAAGGAAGATGTAGGAAAGATCGCGCGATGTTTGTGGCCCCGTTTGTTAGGGTAAACTCTGACATTCGCCTGGGTATTGAACGGAGAAACCACAGAAAACTACCGATCAGAGAGCCGCTGACAATGATCCTTCCAAGGCAGCGATTAATATTCGATCTAGCTTGAGAAGCCAATGTCGAAAAATCGTCCCACGACGGGACTCGAACCTAGGGCTTCTCAAGTCAAAGGACTGGCAGTGACATCACTTGATGTCCCTGAGCCCACCGCTCCCGGGTATTTATGGCAAGATAAACAATGGGAGTTCCAAAGAGAACTGGTTGCAAAAAGGCAGATAAGTCCCCTAAAAAAACTTCTTTAAAAAAAACCTGAAAAATTAATATATGGCTAGGCGTATGTGTTTTAAAAATTTAATGTGTAATTTAAATGATTCTACTAGTGATAACTGAATTACAATTTAAAGAATTTTGTGCCCCAATATTATACTACCAAAACTCACAACATCAAAAACCTACTCCACTATATATAATAATTATATAAAAATAACAACAATAACACAATAAATAACAAAAATAAAAACACAAAAAAAAATAATAATAATATAATAATAATAATAATAATAATAATTAATAATATAATAATAATATAATATACGACCCCAATAGCCGGGATCGCTAAGGCAGAAATTGCCGTAGCGAATCTCGGAGGGAAGGATCGCGGCGTTCCAATCCCGCCACGGGAGGGTGTGTTTCGTGAGGTCTCTTATCTGTGTGTCGTCCATTCACCCTTCATATCATAATTATTTCATATCTCCCCCCCCCCCAGAACTAGCAACCCTGGGGGATAAAAATTGAATTCAGAATAATGCTGTTCCCCCCCAAAAATGAGTTACATACACATGCTACGGGATAACTGTAACAGCCTCGGTAAGTGCCGGTGTATGTCCGCGTGGTCCTAGACGGCCAATTCGCGACCAAAAAGGTGATTAATTATTAATGTAATGACTCATCGCGAATACAGAAGTAGCGAGAAGTTTGATTCGATGCGCTTCCTTCTCTCAAAGTTGGGAGTCTGTCCAGGAAGCGGCCGTGGATCCGGGACCGATGCCGAGAGGGAGGGGGCGGCCTTATGCCTCATTGTGTGCAATAAAAGGAGCCAAACGCCGCTTTGTAGCCGGTGCCGTCCTTGGCCCCTTCGTTCTTCCGGTGGCGCGCCAGCCTTCCTTGCCTCGCTCCCCCAACCCCGCCACCTCTCTCCCCCTCCCCCGCGCAGCGCCAGCCGCCTACCACGTACCAGATTTCTTGTGTACAAAACGAAACGCGAAAATCAACAACTGGAGAGAGCTCACTTTCACTCATTTATTGAAACTAATGTGCAAGGAGCAAAATTGTTATTGTAAAGCTTTTTTAAAGTAAATTTCTCAGGAAAGAAGTAGATAATACGTGTAATAAATAAATTAGCACTAATAAAATGTAAAGATTTGCCATTGGAGATATAAGATGACAGTTTAGTTAAAATTAGTTCTCTGTAAGATTATGTAAGAAATGTAACGAAAATAAGAACAATAAACTTTATTTCTTAAATTGCCCCCAATAGCAACATTTTGAACAATGGTATCATATCCCAGTGAACAACAATGGCGAAAACTGACGTTTTAAGAAACTTTGTTCTCCAATAACTCGGTGAGTCAATAAAGAACTTGTGATTACTTTATGTTTGGGGCTTTATTGATTCACCTATTTTTCCAGATAGTTAGAAGCTGAACTGATGGAAAATGTCATTTTAAGAAAGGAAGATCCCTAAATACTTCAGAAAGGAATTCATAATTTAAGATGAAATTATGTTTTTCACTGAATCTATACATCGTGCCAACAACAACTCATCAATATTTTCCACAACTAGGCAGGGGAAAAATTGTTCCCTAGCGTCGAGTTTTGGAATATTTATCAAGTGCGACCTAAATCACCTCTCTTGACAACTACGACCTTTCCGACACTTCAGACTCGACAGAAATCTCTCGACCTTTCCACTCATCCCTACATACCTTTTCTACACCTTCACGACTGAACATAAGCGCAGGCGATGAGATGAGACTGATAATTATTACGTATCCTAGGGGTTCTATGTTAAATGAAGGTATGGGGCTTCGTACTGGACATTTGTGATCAAAATTAATATAAATACAAATAATAAACTTTGCAATTAAAAACAAATATATTTAATGATTTTAATATATTATATTATGAATTAACATTAAATGTTGCCTAAAAACATCAACAGCCACATACCAATGCTATTCCGATACCCGGAGAGCACAAGGGAGGAAGTCAATAACGTGACTCAGAAATAATTGCAAACCAATTGAAGGAGAAATTTACATATTTAAGAACTGATGCTACATTATTTGTTGCACTATATAATAAACATTTTTCTGCAAGTTTGTGTAATATGTTCAGTTTTGAAGATATGACAAGGTCATATTTTGAAGTTTTCTGTACTTGCGGTTCTTTCCGCGGGGACACAGATGGTCACGTGGTTTTTTAAGAACTAGCTCAAAATTGACTATGCTTGTCTGAAAGAATAACGGATCTCTACATCAAGATATATTAAAGTAAGGTTGCGATGTGCTATTGGGCAGCCTGGGTGATTGAGAAACCCGGAGTTTTCACGAAGCGGTTACGTATGATGACAGTTTCTAAGTGATTTGTAAACATCCGAGAAGCGTTGAAAGACGAAACTATCACCTGAAAAGGTTAAGAATTGCTCTTTCTTTGTTTAGGACTTTTATTAGGAACCTTTAGTAGCCCTAAGTGATAGTTTCGTCTTTCAACGCTTATCGGATGTTTACAAATCACTTAGAAACTGTCACCATACGTAATCATTTCGTGGAAACTCCGGGGTTCTCATTTACCCAAAGATGGAGCGCAAACAATAGGTCACAGGCTACTGACCCTTCTCCTAATTGATATGCGACCGTAAATGAGGGCATCCATTCAGCTGAGGCCATAAACAGCATATTTATTTATGCATTTAATCCGGCTCCTACAGACCAGCGTGAAACGTTTGCAGCGGCATTCGCCGCGAGTTAAACCCTGCAATTCCGCTGCCGCGACGCTCGTCTACAGCGCAGGTCTCAACGCGCTCCATAAGGCTAGTCGCAAAATGAGACGCAGGTCCGTGACGTGGCGCAGGGTGACTCATGGCGAGTTTCTGATAGCCACTTATTGGAACCGGGCGCGTGCGCTCGTAAGCGGGTCCAATAAGCAGTGGTTATCAGAAAATTACCAAGAGTTACTCTGCGACACATCATGAACCTGCGACTAGCCTAAGCCATCTCGTGTCGCGAACATTTCGCGCCGGTCGGTAGGAAGCCGTAACCGGAGTGGGCGAGAGAGGACTCACTGTTGTTGCCGGCGATGAGCGAGACGAGCGCCTTGCCGTTGAGGGCCAGCTCCGAGAGGCGGTTGCGCGAACACTGCACGCTCTCCAGTTTGGTGAGCGCGCTCAGGTCCAGGCTCTCGATGCTGTTCTCGCTCACGTCCAGCTGCGTCAGGTTCTGCAACACAACACACGCTCAGGCCGTCGCCCTTCCTCCGCGTCTCGAGACCCGCGTCTCGAGACCCGCGCCGCGAGACCCGCGCCGCGAGACCAAAATCACAAACAAAACATCCCTGAAAGTGGCATGGAACACTCTCGACGAAATACTTCGAGGTAGAATATGATAAAACTAGACCCCTATCGCTGTCATCATCTAAAAATCTGTTATTGTTCCATTCGTCACGGAAGTAATTTTTCAATGAAAGTTCAAACAACTATGTGAAAAATGACTTTGTGGAAGTCTGAAACTCTTTTCACTGCCCTTTTATGTCACCCCTTAATAATTTACATTATCAGTGTTTTATAGGTGAATTTTGTTTAATGATTCCACCTTGTAAAGATCCATTAAATCCACCTCCCTACACCCATTTTTCCTTCCGCTCGATTCCGTGAGATCTAGAGTAGCAGAACTCAAAATGTCGACAATAATGATAAATCAATATTTTCATGTGATTTACGCAATTACACTAGAAATGAAAGTACATGAAAATACGGGTGATTCATTTCTTACAGCATGACACACAAAATCTAAGCTGCTACGCAAGAAAACAAGCACTTCTTATTTTATCAACAGTATTTGTCGGCATCAAGTTACTCAATTTCTTAAAATGGAGGAATACAAAACACAATCAAGAACACATTTATGTTTTGTTTGAAATGAAGACGTAACATTTGTTACGCGCATTCAGAAAGGCTCCACGAGGAAGCACACTCTGGAAGACTTGTAACAACTGTCTACAAGAGTTTAATTCTTGATGTACACAAAAACAAGAACCAACAAAACATTGATTCTGGCTACACAACGTGTAAGAGGATTTTTGTTTCTGAATTTAGCAACAGGATTTATCTCTTTTTTCGTTATCAGGGCCCAGCTATAAGACTTTTTCCGGCGAAAATTCCTCGTTTTCCGCCGCACGATTACAAACTTTTCTCTTCTTATGAAGAATTCGCAAGAAGAGAAAGTTAAAAATGCGTATTTTATTGGATTATAAACATTTACATAGAACACCTAATTGCCTAAGGCATTTTTCTTGAAAGTTGTCGTGAACCGTTATGTGATACATATAATATTTTTTCCGTTTCCATAACGAAACAATTAGTGACCAAACCGTCTGCCATCCATAACCTTGAGACATCTGCGCTCAGCGTAATTGTTCTGCGTCCCGGAGTAGGCTGTCCGGGAGGGAGGGGAGGGGAGGGGAGGGGAGAGGGCGTTTCCTTCCGCCGCTGAGCGCCGCGAGGCGCACCACCTGGCGAGGCTCGATGCTATCACTCGGAACCGGCCCCTGCCCGTCCGGTGCTCCGCTCTGTGGGAATTACGCCGCTACGAAGCAACCTGCACTTCGCGCACCGATCTGTAACCAGGATGACTCAGAAAAAAATATTACAAAACTCGTGATACTTAGGGGTGAAGAGGATAATCATATTTTTTTATTTCGCTGATGAACATGTGGTAAGAAATTTTACACAACAGAGTTGCACATTCATTTCTGATTGAGAGGCATTTGCCCCTGATTGAGAGGCAACCCATCGTGCATTGATGCTTCGCAGGGACCCGAAATAACTTCGCGTCAGAACGTGATCTGACACAACTGCACGATGAACCTACCAATGAAGAACCTATGTTCTATGTTTAACTACTTTAAATGCAATTTGCCACATGATCATTGACAAAAAGTAATCTTCCATCCCTCCTTAACATGGCCTACAAATTGTAACATTTATTCTGAGACACCTGTAAATTACAAACAATGGTTACGCAACAGTGCACTAAAACATATCCCTTGTAGGTAAACTATCATTGCACTGGTAGGGGACAAAACCAATGGGGAGGGGAAACATTGAGACAAAGATGAATCAATTCATATAGCGCTGATTTTAATTTGAAGGAAGATAATTCTATGTGAAAACTTGTTCTTTTTATAAAAAAGGATCATGAAAAATAGTTTTATCACAGTTTAGTACACTAAACTGTGTTTATATTATGGTAGATAGAAAAGGACAAATATACTTAATAGCAAATTAATTTAACATATTTAGGTACTTTGTCTTTATTCTTAACATTCGTTTAAGTAACTAACGAATAAATGTTAAAAACTACACATTATCGAAGATGTAGAACAATTAAAGTATAATAGTAATGTGAATTACTGAAATTTATTTTATTAAGAAACTGTGTTATACATTTCCGTTAACCTCACCCAAATTAAATATCAAATGCAAAAACAAATCACCCCATTTGGTGTCAAATCACAAAACATACTAAATTATGAAAAAAACAAAACAATTTAGCAACTTACTTTCATCGAAAGCCTATAACTACATTTTGAAATACATCCACACTTTAAATTTACCACTTGAATGAGACCAAAAGTTTAGTTTAATAATAGCAACCTTCTATAATATGGCACTATCGAGTTTCCTTTCCGTATACAATAGAGTATTCAATAATATTGAGTGGACATAATTTTACCCGCACACGGCGAGAAGCACATAGATCGGATGGCCGATAAAACAAGGCAAGAGCAATATTGCACATGACACGCTCATTCCGAAGAAACATGAAGGACAATTGCACGCCTTGCAAACTCTCAGAAGGGTAGTTCGCGAGAAGACGATTTCCGCCGGTAATTTAGAACACCGTCTGAAAACAATCGCACAGAGGACAATGACCACGTTCGTTTCGCGCAAAGGGACCTGTTTTTCAACTGTACGGGATAACGGCTTCGCCGAAAGAAGTGGATCTAGCGATAAGCCCGAATCTCGCGGCGTAGTGGGAAACTGACAGGTTGTGAAATGATATCAAAACGTAAGGTATACTTTTAATTAAATCACATTTAATGCTGATGCAGGTACATTTACTGCGAAATTTAAAAAAAAAATATATATTTTAAAACAGAGTTTTATGGACACCAGCTCAAAGTGTTTCCCACCTTTATGGGAATAGAACAGGGCACGCGGTCGTACGGTTCCAATGCTCCAATGGGAATAGACCTGGCACGCGGTCGAACTGTTACAAAGGGAATAGAACAGGGCACGCGGTCGTACAGGCTTCAATGGGAATAGAACAGGGCACGCGATGCCATGCTCGGGCGTACTGTCTCTAATGTTTCGGCGGAGAGGACGGTCGCGAATACGACCAGCCGCGGCCGCTCGCGCTCTGCAATTCAAATGTTGAATGGCGCGCCAGTACAAAGTACCTCGGCACCACGATCGAGTGTGCTTTAACTTTCCGCGAGCACGCGGACGCGGTTTCGAACAAAGCATGGCGACGCTTGGGCATGTTGCGAAGCTTATTACAAAAGCGAAGCAAGCGGTCCATAATGGACTACATCCGCCCACGTTGTGAAATAGTGGCGCACACACACTTGAATAAGTTGTAAACAGTTCAAAACGCGTGCATTTGTAGCATACTGTGCGCGCCACCTTATATTAGAATTTTAGAACGGCACTTAATATTAAATCTCCCACTTTTCTCCCACTTTAAAAACTTAGCTGCAAACTTCTTTTCAAAAATAAACGCGTCAAATAATAACATAAGACATTTAACTTTGTACGAGACGGATTCCACGGCCACTTACAAGCGCCTTCTGCAGTAGACGTAACACCAATACCTGCATTAAAATTGCGGTAAACAACGCCAAAAACCGCGCCGAACAGCTATCTCTTTCCTAACCTTTTTTATTTCTGTTATATATCAGCCATAGATGTCCGAATGGATAGGGATTGCTACATAGCAGGGATGTGTAGCGGCATTGCACCTCGCGGCCACACGGAAGTGCGCTGCAAAGCAACGAGCTAGAGGACGGTCGTAGTTAATTGCACACGTGCGTCGACGTCCGGTGCGGTCGCATGCTCGTTCATCGTTCATCGTTCATCGTTCATCGTTCACCGTTCATCGTTCATCGTTCACCGTTCATCGTTCACCGTTCATCGTTCACCGTTCATCGTTCACCGTTCATCGTTCACCGTTCACCGTTCATCGTACACCTTCGTAGCCTCAGAAGAAATCCAGGGACGTCAAGTCGTCGATTGGAGGTCAACTGGAATGTGGTTTGCAATGCTAGTTGGAAATTGGTTACTTGTTCCGGACACAATAAGTATGAAAAAATTGAAAGATGAGTAAAATTTCCAAAAAATATTAATATTTTATACAATAAATCGCTAGTCATACTGAAATAGTCAATAAAATAGAACATCTTTAAGCGCCACAACACAGCGGCGCGACCGCGTGGAGATTTCCATTTAAATCAATGCCTGTCTAGCAAAGGGCATCTGGAAAGCGTTTCCGAGTCGTCCTGTACGAAGGGATCCGAAGACATTAACAATTACTGTAATTACTCCTACTTTCTGCCCATTTATTGCAAGAGGATATTTTAATACTTCCTAGATCCAATTTTTTCTAGCCAACAATTTACTCGCACTGGTTAAGAAGGTAGGAATTGTTTCCGTAAATGGACGTAACAAAATATAAAACATTTTGTGCCCAATACAGACCTTAAAAAATCTACTTCAACAGACAACGAAGATTGGAAAATGGAAATCATGACAGACAAAAGTCAAAAGTACTTCACTTCTGAATTTCCGCTACACGAAAAAATAGCACGTTCGTGTGTAAACACACAATGAAAAGGAAACAAAACATCAGCAATAAGATAGTCGAGTGAATCAAATCTACAGCAACCACACATCAATGGTACAAAATAACATCAATCAACCAAGAGATTCCAAGAAATTTGGAGAGACCGCATTGGTGGGAATTTGAACACCCAATCTAATTTGCAAATAATAATTCAGAAAACAGAGAACTTGCAAAATATTGTTCTGTATAAAACCTTAACTCCCATAGAAAATGAAACATCCATCTCAAACGTCCCAAGCTTAAATTACCTATTTTACTTTTATGAACAGGACGTATTTTTTTGACAATCAGTTGACACTGAACACATTTTATTCTGGGGATCTGGAAATCGACATTTCACACATTATTTGTACACTACTCGACATTCCCATTTGTGAGCTAAGTTCACAACGAGATGAGTTTGAATCCGCAGAGGATCTTAAGTGAAGCTCCTCTACGAAGGAGGGGGAGGGGGGTCTGGCGACGCGGGGCGGTGCCGCACCTGGAAGGGCGTGCCGTCCAGCCGCAGATGCTGCAGCTCCTGCGACACCTGCAGGCGCAGCTGCAGGTTGGCCTGCGGGCCGCGTATGATGCGCGGCAGGATGTCCTTATGGCGGCGCACCACCGCCTGGTACTGGAAGTTGCCGAGGGCGCCGGCGAGCGCGGCGGCGGAGGAGGAGGAGTCGGCGGGGGCGGGCACGACGGCCGAGGCGGCGTTGAAGGCGGTGGTGGCGGTGGAGGCGGCGAGCGCTGGCGGGCGGCGGGGCGGGGCGGGGGGGGGCAGTGCGACGAAGAGCGAGGGGCGGGGCGGGGCCGGCGCCGGGGCCGGGCGCCCGTGGTGGCCGGAGAAGGAGGAGCGGCGGAAGAGTCGAGGTAGCGGGCTCTTGGCCTTGGGTGCCCAGGTGCTGCGCCGAGCTCCTTGAGGCTCCAGTGGCGGGTGCCGGGGGCAGCGCTGGGCGCCGAGACGGGCTTGGCGCGCGGCCAGGCTGAGATGAGGCGGTGCTTGCGGTCGGGATGGGGCGGGCCGGGGCGGGGCGGCGCCCGGCCGTGCCCGTTGCCCCGTCGGCCGGCGGAGGAGGTGGGGGCGGAGCCCGCCCGCGGGGCGGCGACGCGGGCCGGCGCGACAGCTCTCGCGCCACGCGCCCTGCTCCCGCACGCACAGCGCGCGTCAGACTAAAGGCCCGGGGAGGGGAGGGGGAGGGAGGTGGGAGGGGGGTTTGAAAAGAATGAACTTTCACAACAACATCCGTGCAACAAGGAAAGTGACAACTCGAAAACCGTCAGTTTTCAGTTAGCTCATGAAATATATCAACAACAAAAATGTATAAAAAATGTTTCATAATGATACTTAACAAGGTAGCTGGTACACAAGAGTAAATATTTTCTGTTTGGCTGAGAAATAAAACGCTTCGCACAGGACAATATCAATATCCAGCAACATAAGAATTGTTTAGATGCATCAGAGTATCGTCGATCGATGTCGTTTAGATGCCTCAGTGTATCGGTTTTGTGTAGGGCCGATACGAACTGTATCAATCGTTTTTCGTTCGCCCCTGTGCATGACTTAGCGGTACAATTGTGGAAGACCCGAACTTAATGTTTTGAATTGCTAATATTTGAGATGTGAATGCTGTGGAAGTCGTGCGGACAAATAATATTTTTTCGCAAAATTCTGAATACTGTTATTGTTGTAATAGTATTGCTAGTCATCGGTTAAAAATATTTTCTTTTATAAGGGTCCAATATGGGAGGATATTATTATTTCATATTACATTTGTGCGTGATGGAATTTTACACGAGAATAAATACTATTCCTATCTCTCTTACTCTTTACTACTATTATTATCATATTTCTACCACTATTCTTCAAATATATGCTTATTAAAACCTAGTTGCATCTGTTCGCAACATACAAAAATTAAAATATGGTATTCATATTTTCATGTACCATCGCATCTTTCCCCCGCTAATTCGTGCTCGTTCACGTTGGTTAAGAGCAATTTTAATGTACCTGGGTTCCTCTCAAGAATTTTGTGGGCTCAGATTTCTTTTCTTAAGTTCGTGCCAGTTTGAATCCTTTGTTAGAGCTGTTAAAGCAACATATTTGAAGCCATTCAGCTTCTTTTTATATTTGATCGGGTACACATTTATATTAATTTTAGAGTTTGCGCTTCCTTCTGATTGCTGATGTCTTGTGAACCTAAAAAAATATTTTGATGATGGAAGTTTATTTCAGTACCAGACTGCACGGTTATGAAATTGCATGTCATTTGCGTTAGCCGTTTCGTACATATACCTACGAAGCCTCAGCATTAAAAAAAATATTGTGGATGATTTAATTAACGCATATCGCACGTTGGTTAAAAATGGTTCTAAATGTTATAATCTATAATATATACTATTTTATCATTGACAAAATGAGTTTGCATGCGACGGGTACTGTGTGCGAATTAAAATTAAAATGATTGTACACGAAGTTACATTGGAAAATTCATTCTTCTCGACACTCCAGCTCCTATGATAGGCGGTTTAAGTGATTTTGTAAAGCCCAAAGCAACTACTTATTTAATTATCTTCAGTAATTCAGGTGGAGTAGGGAAGAGTTGAAAGGCGGACTTCCATCTACACGACTTTCTCCCTTCATTTGCACATCATTCATACCTTATTCGTTTATCACCAACACATCACGCCTATTCTCTTTCTACAAAACACACACACACACACATATATTCACATACATTTAGCCAATTATACCTTGACTCACAGTGCTCATACAAGCGTGCGTTGCAAGAAAATCACACCAACTGTCAAAACATTTTATTTACTACAATAACATCATTACTTTTTCTTTTACATATTAATATTTAAGTGACGGTTTAGCGACCATTATCATAGATATTACTTCTTATAAAACCACTCTTAATATCGTATTTTTCTATAATCGTTATTATTTCGATAAAATAGCTCAATATTTCTATTGAGAAAGACTCATTTTCGGTTTTCTTCATTTACATTTTCACGCTCAACTACAGATGCGGATGTATCTGCGAGGAGGTTTTTCTCTCACGGCTGGAGCGGCTTTAATGGACGCGTCGTTTATGGCTGTGTCTTTACAGGGCAGGGCAGCGCTGCGCAGAATGTTCTCGAGAGAAAGCGACAGCAGACATCTGCTGCTCCGCCCCTGCGCTTCCGCTTCCCAGTTGTGCAATGGCGAAGAGACGGGCGCCCTAGCTCAACATATTTCGTACGTCTTCCACGAATTGCCCTCCCGTCCTCAATTCGCAATTTAATCACAACTTTCTCTTTTGAGAGCTGATCTTTGCGGTTCTGTCCGATAAGAATCGCTTAATAAACGAGTGCACAGGGCTCTGCCACATGAATAAAGAAAATCGAAATTTAAATCCACTGAGTCTCCAATATTTTGTTAGGTCTTGTTTTTACATGCACATTAATCGACGGTAGAGAGATGTCAGAGAATAGTACATAGTGCAAATAAACGAATTTCTAGCGTTTTCCTACTAGTTAAAATTTTTAAAATTTAAGTTTGGTTTGAACCACGACAACGACAACGTGGGTTAGTGATCTGGGTTTCACCTGTATGTTCACGAGAGAACATAGATTCTTTGAATAGATACTTGAGTTCAAAATAATTGAAACATTTTGGACACTGAAACATAAAGGATTTTCTGACATTCATTTCTGATATTGAAGTAGTTTGCGTGATCCCTTAACTGAAGGAAATTACTTTTCTACAGTTAAGTGACAAAATTAACGAAGGCTGGCGTCTTATTTTTAAAATACAGTTTTTACTCGATTTATTGTAATAAGCCACAAAAACAGTTTATTTAAACAAATTTATTCCCAACTGAAGCACGACAATTATTTTATTCATCTGTTATTGAGAGCGGTATCATTGAGAATGACTTCTCAAATGATGAAAATCAGAATTTGATGCAACTCTGACTTTCTTCATTCTGATTGCTTCCTTTAGAGTATCGATCCGGAGAGGGAGCCAATAATTTCAAACCAATCCAAACATTTTGCGGACTAAAAACAATTCGCTTGCACCGACGCAGTATCAGAAACAAAATACGCATACAATTTCTTAGAGAAAGATTCATTTTTACTGACAAAAAATCTGTGTAAATAAAATTCTATTCATTCTATCAGTTACAACTGTCATGAAGGTATTTGAGACAACTGACGTGCGGGATTTGCAGACATTTAAACGGCAAAGATTTAAAGAACTTCATAAATATTCGACAAAATGTACATTAACGCGAATCTAGATGAGTTATGTGATTAACTTACAGACCTATCAACCCCCAGAGTGCGGGTTTGATCTTGTATGAGGTGTGTGGGTTTCCGAAAGGCGAAAAATGCACAGTGCAGTCTTTGCATGCGACAAGTAAAAATATCCAGGAAAATAAAATCTTCCGAAAATATCCGTGATCGTTGTAGTAGCGCTCCCTAGCGGCAGAAAATGGAGTGAAATGGCCACGGTCAGAGCCTGTAGGGCGCGAACTACTTTTCCCAGTATTTTACGCTCATGATGGGGGTGGTCTAATGAATCTATCTCTCAGTGCCCAGGCACTGCAAACAAACGAAAAATATCTTAAAAATAAGAAGAAAATATTAGAACAAACAAATCAAAAATATTTTTTGGAAAACTGCTAAATTTTTATTAAAATATATTGTTTACGACTGTTTTTAAGAAATTAATGAAGTTTGTCGAATATAAAAATATGTTACATTAAAACTTAAATAACAAAAAAAAACCTTTTTTGTTTTCTTGATAATAAGGATAATTTTCCCATTGTTCATTTGATGTTTTTGAAGTGTGCCCATGAACTTCGCCCAACCCCGCTCTGGATCCTTCTCTCTAACGCCCTTAGGGGGCTACGTAACACAAACAGGTGTGATCATGGCGCCACCCACGCTCAACGACCGAAGTGCGTTATGAGGCGCGCGCATCATGCTTAAGCACCAGAGCGCGCGACGGGTGGTCCGGGGGAGGGAGGGTGGCTGGAGACGGGGAGGCGGTGAGAGGGGAAGGGGAGGGTCCGAGGGCGACCAAACGGGAACCCGCGAGCGGTGCTCGCCGCTTGGGCAGCGGTCCGCGCCACGCGCACCGGGCACCTGCGATTCCCTCCCCTCCCTCTCCTCTCCTCCCATCCCGCACGTCCCCTCGGCTTGACGTGCCACGCGCCACGCGACTCCGCCCTCCTGCCGGCGCTCGATTTCGCTCGCGAAAGACCGATGTACACACACTCGAACGGGAAAGGGCTCGTCATTTGGAGAGCAGGGGTAGATGAACAGGTCGCAGAAGATCCCGTCAACATTTCGTGTCTTCGACACAAACCGCGCGGTCACTTCAACCAACTTTAATTCACTTGCAAATGACCGATCCGCTAATCAATAGCTCGAACTTATTGCCTGCGGAAGCAAAAATTCTGTTGCCGAGTGTGTGGAAAATGGGGTCCTGGAGCAGTGAAAAATTGGCTGTTCTGGAACGGAACATGTGAACATCGAAACTTTTTTTCCTCGTCACATGTCGAAAGCAGTAACTCTTAAAGTATCAGAACATAGTGGTAATATTAAGAATGAGAAATTTCATATTAACATAATAAAATATTTGCATTTTCAGACAAAATCGAATCAGTTTAATTGTTTTTGTGTTTTTCCAGTCATCCTGGATATCTAACAAAATCATTGACACTTCTCACTAAGCGAGTGAGTAGCGTCTCCGTTAATTCTTGAGTATATTTAGATAGAGAATATACTCAAGAATATCTTAGAAAAATATACATTTTTTGACCACAGTAGTTAGTATTCATATGAAATTTTGTTTCGATCACAACAAATCTTTTTCCTCTGCTGCCGACAGATCGACTCAAGACTCTTATCAGGATTTTCAGTCAAGACCTTTTCTGATACTGCTAGAGGCCTAATAAAAAACATATTGCCAGCAGAAGAGGAAACTATAGTTAAATTTGACAGAAACAGATTTTATCCAATTCATATAATTTTATTTTACATTAAAATAACTCCTTCCGACTATAGCCATAGTAGGTAGTCCAATGTCCCCAAAGGTGCCCATATTGATAAGAGACTGACCTCTCGTGTCGAACAACATGAAGCAGCAACGCAAAGGATCTATCAAGCTTCGATTGTTTCATCAGGCATCTGGGAAGTTTGATGCCCGGAAGGTAGCTGCTTTGACCTTGTCGTGTTCCTCATCCCTTCCTCTCATAACTGCTAACCTTCGTACTGACATACCCAAAATTGTGCGTGCATGTGTGTGGGGGAATGAAAAACCATGGAGAACACCCGTGGTGGCGCGATGCCCAGGGGCTCGGGGGTTCTCTGGTTTGTCCTCAGCAGCCCATTTCGCACTAACGACATAGATATCTATATCTTCTTCACTGTTCGAGTGACACCGCGTCGCACCCTGAGGAAGTATTTCCTTGGCTGTCCGGGTGACCGTCCATGGCAAAGGTGCCGACGTTTCGGTCGCCATTTTGCGACCTTCCTCAGTCGGCACCTTCGCCATGGACGCGGCGTCTCCCGGACAGCCAAGCAAATACGGACTCCGGCCGCGGAAGCCTACGTTCCCCCCAGAGGAAGCCTGCAACATGACAGGCAATACATCGGCCTCTCTGCCTGCGTTACCCAGACGGCAAAGACGATATAGACCCGAGTCGCGGAAGCTCACTTTTTCATTTGACGTGGATATCGCCCAGAAACTGGGAAACATTTCTAACTCTCCACCAGTCATTAGAACCGAGGCCTTAGGTCTTCCTATAGAGAAATTTGAGGCACTAAGAGTAGAGCATTCCTGACTTCAAGACTTCCTGTAGACCTAACACCGGTACCAGTATCAGACACCGGTACCAGTATCAGACAGCGGTACCAGTATCAGACAGCGGTACCAGTATCAGACACCGGTACCAGTATCAGACACCGGTACCAGTATCAGACACCGGTACCAGTATCAGACACCGGAACTCCCTGTCATTGATGGCGTTGACATTGGCATTGCCCTTAGTAGCAGCTATGGCTGCGTTATAAAGTTTAAATTACATTTCTTAAAGAAGTGGAATAATAATTTTTAGACATATGGAATGAATATATTAGCTAGAACTATAATGCAATGTGTGTATTGCTTGAATATATTTCATAAGATGTAGAATTGTTAACAACGTATTCAACTTTCCGTCAACTTAACTTAATGTTCGCTCTCTTCTTATTCATTATTTATTGTGCAACAATTTATCTGTTCTGTATCTTCTCACTCTTACTTTTCTTAAATGCAATTTCGAAGCAGAAAGAAAATTATATCTCGGCTAATGAGATTTTTACAGTCGCCATTAGAATCACATTAGTTACGCAAGGATTGCTCTGGGATCGCGCCTTCACCACAGTGTTCTTTCTGCATCGTACGGCCACGCAACCTGAGAGGGAGCTTGAGCTTGCAGTTGCAGTTCACGACTTATGAGGCAACAGCAATGAGGAAATGTGTCTTTTGTGGCACCTTACCAGACAGTTACTGTCGTGAATTCGTTACCCTCTTCCGCGAAGTCAACATTTCACACTCGAGGAAGTATTGTCTGTTTGTTCTTGGCGCGACAGTCCGCGAACGGGCCAGGGCCTACCAGCAGCGTCCCGGCCTCGCGGCCATGTGTTTAAGGGGTACGTGTGGTTAACACGAAGACATAACTACGCCGTGCTCGAGAACGTACACGGGAGAGAATTATAAGTCAGCTCTCAATCGAAAACAGCTACTTAATTTCAACAATTTATGTTACACTCAAATACCAGATTCCGCCAATGATCGAAATATTTTCCTCGGACGGAAGAAAATATCCACGTTGCGTTACGAGTATTTCTTTTCGGACAATGACCGAATAGAAACCCACGACCAATACCCACGCCGCTGTCTCAGTACGTACAGTACACGTTAAAAAACATACGATCCAAAAAAACCTAATCTCTAATTCTTTCCCTTTATAAGCTTCCACAGTTCATTACATTATTTGCCATTCGGATGTATGTAATAGTCAGTACTTTTGTTATTATTCTTTCACGGAAGCAGAAGTTCTTTCGGTAATAATTGAACAGACTACGATCATAAATCCTTTGTCCCGCTTAATAAGCTAAAAGGTCGGCTCTTCAAGTAAACAAGATAAGTATAGTAATGCTGCATTCTCTCAATGATTCTCTACATTTGTAAATAATTAGATAAGTGAAATTCCTCCAGCTCATTGTGTAATTTGCGATCATTATGTCCATTTCATAAAATCACAAACGCTGTAAGACAAGTCGAGTTGTATGATTATTCATGCTGTAACAGTGGTTTGACCACATTGATGAAAATCGAATACGTCGAGTGTGTTTATTTACGCTAGAAGGCAAGTTAAAATAATCACGTAATAGCAAGATTTGTTCGTTAGCAGTTTATTGTAAATACTTTTATTGATGAACTAAACCCACTCTTAATACGAATAACAGGATGACTCAGTTTATGTCAAAATGTATCATTTGTTTTCTCCTTGGATACTCATTAAATCTAATTATATGCCTCAAATAAACATATATTCACAAATATACTTATTGAAGAGTTGGAGAAACATAGTGAATAAGACTCGTTTGAACATAATTAACTTCTGATTTACATATTCCGTTGAAAGTTTCTTTATTGTTTTGGCTTTTCTGCAAAATTTGGTATTGAAGAGTTATGAATTGATTCATAGAGATCTAATGGCCAAAGGAAGAGACGCTTCGTAAGTAGCACCAATATGCAGAATATTCACAAATCTACACAATTTTCAATTTCACATAAAATCTATTCGTACTGAGACACACCAGCATAGTATAATGTAACTGCAAAACTTCGGTAATGTACACTTCAAACAGGGAGAAATAAAAAAAGGTCGTTACCACACGGGTCCGGAAATGCACATTTGATGAGTTGTCAGAGCGTGTATTTGCGTGGTGCCTGCCGACATGCATACCGTCTATCCAATTATCTTGTGTGCAACATCCCGTTCAAGATCCAATGTATTCGAAAAGGGGAAAATCCATCGGGGTTTCGGCATGCTATACTAATATGGTTCTTTGTTCGAGGAGTTTTCCTTTCGTTTCCTTCGACCCACTACCGGCGGATGGTTATTGGGTCGATTCCCAGCAGCGAGGAAGCTCCGAAGCACACGCTGGTTTCGCCACTCGGCCACATCGCCGCTCCCGCGCAAACAGCTTTCCCGCACTCGTCGCTCGCACAAACGGGTTCGCCTCCCATACGCTTCTAACTACGGAGCCAGAATGTTAAAATAATAATTAAAGAAACAAGTTTGATATGTAGATCACAATAACACGTGCCTCTTTCAATATTTTACCCACGACAACCCTATATACTTGTTATTTCGTTTCAAAATGCATAAAACTCCGCTAGACACTAAACGTTACTTATTTGTTTTCAACGATTTCGTTTGTTTTATTTATTTATTTAGAAAACGAATATTGCAGTTAACGTTCATACTAAATGTTCGTGGTTCTATTTATACTTTTTTGCATCAAATATTGTAAAATCAATAATTATTATTAATTGTAATAAGTGTTTTCTATGTCTGGCTAAAACATAGTTATTATGTATCCAAAAGAACAGACATTTAATTACGAGTTAATAATTACATCCGAATGGATGTACTAATCAGTCGTCTGTTCTACGTGATAAATTCAATATACCATTAACGATGAACGTATTAGTAACAATGAAATTAATATTAAAAAAGAAACTATAAAAAGAAATATATTTGCAAAGAAGTCGTTGAAACCCAACTGTTTATTTTGCCAGGTCGTACGTGTCGCATGATGCTGAGTCAGTCTGCCATAATAATATAAACTCTTTGTGATACGATGTTGAAGATTTTAAAGTCAGTACAAGACTATTTTGTGTCGACTTGGAATTTAAATGAAATTCAGATTCAATGAAAATCGGACCTCCGCCACTGTTGTAAGCGTACTTTGCCCTATAAGATAAAAAAAAAAATCCAAAACTTTAGAGTCATTTTTGAGAAAAAAAATTGAAAACGATCATGAGACTTATGGAGAGTATTAAAATTAAAATATACTTGAGACATATGAAGAATAGCAAAAATTAAAGTATACTTTTCAAATTTAAAGGGTGAAATAAGTCAGATCGATCCGTGAATTTATATTTTGGTGACAATCCACCCTAGCTTCAGCCGCTTGCGTTGCTGACAGACGAGACGAACAGACCAGAAAGACAGACGTTTTACTGTAATACAATTATTCGGTATCACGCACCCACAGAATGTGGATTCTGGCTAAAGAAAATTTTAGAGGAAGGAATTTATTACGAATACGAACAAGAATTATCCACTGTTTCTAAATGAGGGACCGATCAGTTTTTTTCGTCAAAAATCGAAATGTTTTGCGGCAGCATTCCGTAACTTATTCTACTCGTATACAACGTAAATAGTAAGAGAGACAGTACACATTATACGATGCGCACTCTAATCAGATTTTACCCTCACATGAAACGGGCTACTGTTATCAAAAGTTCCATCTCAGTGCCTACTACACGTCTTACTTTGGTGCTGCCATTCGATCGAACACCTTTGGCGGCCATCTAAATGAAACATTTAAGTGTATTATCATGATTTACAAAATAGAAACACCGCTGGAGATTAGTTTTGTATTGACGACGAAGTTTTCATTGAAATCTTGGACTCATACAAGAGTAGGCCTCTACGCATGCATATCCACCGTTGTATACTAACATTGCGAATCTAAACGAGAACATTCGCACGCACATGTATCGTGGTGAAAGTATCGCAACAGTAACGCAGAATCATGCCATTTCCGAAGTAAAGGGCTTACATTTGCGTCGGGACGTTTAAACGACACAGTTGACTGACGGTCGTAATTAGCCATAATTGATGCTTTAAGAGCGCTGTCGGGGCGGTGGGAGAGGGTGAATGTGTGTCGAATGAGGCGCTGCGGCTGTAGAGGCGGCGCGTGAGAGCGAACCCGGGACTGCCGCATTGGCACAGCACGACGCGACGCGACGCGATCTGAATAGACGTCGAGCACGACGAGAGCCTGCTGCAGGCGCTGTTGTCTCCCAGTGTTCCAGAAAGCCTCGAGAAAGTAATGTTTATTAATGTGCATCTCCCGATGAAAAGTGAACACAATTCCTTTCTGAAGGAATCGGCCAAATGAAATGACCACCCATTTTGACTTTAGAGCTTTCTCAGCCCCGAAGAAGGCAACGTAAATGTGGCTGACCAGAGCTGATGGCACGACATCGGCTGCATGATACGAGTATTTCATTGAAACATTTCTAGTAGTAGCCAATGTTTTACCTATTATCTCTACATTAAAAAAGAATGTAAACGCAATATAGTGTCCACACACTCAATTTACATTTACTGGTAATATTTATAAAATAATATATCACAAAAATGTAGCCACTCTCTCTGAGCTTTTTGCAAAAGGAAGCCAAGAAAGCAAAACCTTTTGAACACAAATTAAAGAACTTCAGCAGTAATTACAATAGAATTCATGTTTATACTATTCACAATTTTGTTCTAGAAATGTTTGTTTGACATTAATTGAAGTGAAGAAAATATTTCTGTTCGTTTCCTCAACGTAATTAAATTTTGGAGCAAATATCGTATCTATTTATTCGTTTGCAAATCGAAAAACGTGAATCGTAATGGGGAAACCGTCGAAAGCTTGAATAGCTCTAACCCCTGATGTACAAAATAAAAAAAAATAGAACACTCTAGAACAAAGGGCCGGGATTCCCATTCGCCCGCACAATGGGCACTCTCGCTCTCTGCCAGACGGCGAGCAGGAGGCCTTCGGGGGTCCCACGCCCCGAGCGACCTTCCCACAGAGGGCGGCGTTCTCCGCCGCGCAAACGGAGCAAGACTGGCAGGCGGTCGAGTGGTGGACGGGAAAATTGACGAATGCTGCACATCTGTATATAAAATGAACTGCACTTTAGTGGGTTAGATGGAAAAGTCTTTAGGGGAATATACGTATAAAAATATTTCTATTTTATTCAAGACTTATACACAGACAAAACGAATGTTAAGCGGAGTCGGTGCATGAGTGGAAGCAATGCTAGAGAACCCGCATCCTCTTTCACAGCTTGGCTGCCGCTTGGGATCACACTGTAGTACCAAATTTAATAAAGAAATAATAATAATAATAATAATAATAATAATAATAATAATAATAATAATAATAATAATGTACTTTCATGATTCAAAAAATGAAAACACCGATAAGGATGTGTACCTTATGTACGTTTGTTATTTATTTATCTTTTAGTCTTTTTAAGTAGACGTTTTGGGTTTATGGGTAGATGCGTGCTCTATGTGTATATATCTTTGCATACTAACATTGTGAATCGTAACGAGACATTGACAGACAGAAATCGCCAATTATTTTTCCTTCGATTGTACTGGTCGACATATGGTCCAACGAGCGTACTCGCAGTTCTACAAAAATATTTTGAAATCACGAACCGACAGAGACGTCTCTTCGACAACATCCATTGCTACTGCAACGTCTCTGTGAGGTCCTTGCTTCGAGTTCGACGACTAATGACTGAAGTAGTTGAAAACACCTGAAAACATTAAATACTCACTATATTACTCGTGTCCACGGGGATTGACTCAAATGAAGATCAACCATTGCCCGCCTCTAGAAAGCCGTTTACACGAGTACAGTCGGCAACCCGTGAATTGCACTCTCCCAGCTCGTATTCAAAATGCTAGACTCGTGGAATAGAGTAAGAACAGACAAATTGCTCCGGGTGTTAATGCCCTGTTCACGACAAAAACATTAGCGCCACCCACACCGTTGCACGGTTTTATGTTTTTTGGATACCATTGAATATATCAAGAAGCATGCCACTGGTACGAGCGAAGTCCTCTGTGTACGGATGAGGTTTAAGGTACTTTTGCGATTTATAAGATTTTTACAATCTCACACAACAGTTACCCACTGCACAAATGCGAGACTTCAGTGCGTTTCCACGACCACCGTTCACTATCACTGGCATCGACGGGACACTGTCCTCTTCTCAAAAAACGAACCGCACAGAGAAATTGGGGGCTGGTTTAGAAGAGTCCACATTCCCACGAGCAATCTTTTGCGGTATTCCAAGAGGTTTCTGCGACGCAATGCGGTGCCTACTGAAGTATCGCCCAAATAGTTTTCATTCGCTAAGCGAGTGTAAGAATGGGTAAACTCTTCAACAACGGGCCGTACATCCATTGTTTGGGTACGCCACCGGTTTCCGAATGGAATCGATTGGTGAAAAACAAGATACTCAACGATCAGAAAAGTCTTTCTTTAGAATTCTCACCCAGGAATTGGTGTCGTGCAACCCAGAACGTGGGTCCAAAATCTGCCTTCGATGGGACTGTAACTATAAAAATCACTCGACCATATAAACAGCGAAGCTACAATTACGGACTATTACTAACACAGGGCTGAATAGAACTGATTAGAAGAATATTAATTTTCGAATATAAATAATTACAGATAATGAATTGCTTGCTTGCTTAGGTGGTTAAGAGCCTTTAATAACCGACAAAAATGTCGCACTTAAAAAATTTACTACTTCACTGGTGATGAAAGGAGCAAATTTCTGTTACAAATACAGAAGTAACAGAAAATCTGTTAAGCTGCACTCTGAGTATAAACGAATGCTACAAAAACTGACAAGAACGCTTCTTTCACGAAAATCATGTTCCCAAGCAAGAATATAATTTTACCATTTAGATGTAAACAAATATATACCTAATATCAAAATTTTATCATTTTTCAGGAGCGAAACTAGCCTATAATATGATAATTTACAACTTAAAACCAATAACTTAATACAAAATTGTTTTTAATTTTATAGTTCAATCAAATATCTTGCTGTATCGGGGTCCCCACGTATGAACGTATTCTAGGTTCAAGTTTCACATTTCCTTTCATGTTAAAGATAGAATGTTGACGCTATGAAATATCACTCGTCAGTTACTCGCTCAGAAGTCTGTTGTTATCATAAATACGTAAAATACTATTATATTGTACTATCATGAAGTCTTGATCATTTGGAACAAGCCTTAGGTTAAGAGCAGCACAAATATCGAATTTAAATCTTTTAATTGTTAACAACACTCACATAAGAGACAGATCCAGAAAGAATGATTTACAGGAGACGTTTTCTCTTTTCATTTCTTGTGAAATTCACGTAGGAAGTTTAAGGTAGTTTTATACTTCGGCAAATTAGTTGAAGAAAATTCCATATTGATACAGTAAGTTAGATAAAATTATTTTAGGTAATGTTTTGTTACTATTTGAATAACTTACTCATAAAACTCCTCTAAAAACAACTTTCTGGTTCTGCCAACGATTCGTACTAGAGCGTTCTCGCTGGAAAGAGTAAACAAAAACACATTCACAAAAGACACCAATACTACAACCACACTCCACGCTGCATCGACACACAAACGCATCACCCAACATTCTGATCACACAACTTTCTAACCGCTCACATCAGGCACCATACAAACGTCAACGAGTGAACGTCAGCTCAATGGAAACAGAAAAGAAAACAAACTTCTTCCCTACATTTTCTTCCGTCGACACTTCTTCCTTGCAATCATCCGACATCGCCGGCACCAATACGACGTACACCTATTGCGCCCCAACACTTCACACCGTCCACCTCTTTTCCACTGAGCTGTCGTTCAAACGTCCTCTGGCAAACAGACTGCGTACATCACACGAACAAACACACACACATACACGCGTCCAGACGGACCACAGGCGACGACTTTCGCGCGCCGCCGATCAAAGCCAGGACACATCCACTTGCCGCCAAGGGCAGGCGGCCGCTCTTCGATCACACACACTGAAGGGCGGCGGGAGAAGGGCGCGGCGGCGGCGGCGGTGACACCGCGGCTGCGGTAGTCGATGACAAGGGGAGCCCCTGCGTTAAGAGATCGGCCGATACACCACCATGAGCCTCGGACATGAGGCTCTAACAAATCTTTCCGGTTCATAACTGAACAAATTAACGGCAAACTAACACGTAAAAGCTTGTAAAGGAATAAGCACGAATGAACGATAGTACCCAAAATGACGTAGGTTTAATATTATATCTGTAACTATCATTCTGTTCATTAGACTTTTTCAGAAGAAACGGAAGTCAGAAATTTTTCTTTTCTAAAATTTTAGCTTAATGCTTCACATTGAAAGTTTGACGTTTGAAAATCGATTCCTGCGAATACTATAAAAGCACTTTTTCGAAATTGCGTTGTAACATGCTGTGTTCGTAAACTTAGAATCTTAATTATCAACATGCTCAAGTTGGTAACTAAATATTGCACTTTTTAAATGTTTTTTCCTTCACGATTGATATACTCGGAAGAAAGATCACTTCCACGGGCTATTTCCAAACGTTCACTTTCAAGCGCGACCTCGCGTCCGACGCGTTTCCGGCCAAGGGGCGCCACATCGACCGATCTCTTGGACGGGCGCCTCCCCTCGGGGCATACCATGGTGGCTGCGAATGGGCGACGCGGTCGGGCGCGCTTCTCGGGGCGTCGGCGGCGACTGAGGCGGCGGGCGATGCCGCCGGCGGCCGCGGGCGGCGGCGGCGGCGGAGAGGCCCTGGGAGCGTTCCCAGCGGGCCGGCTCTTCCGCCCGCGCT